GCAGTCCTTTAACTCCTTTGGCATATCTACCACTTTAAGATATTGAACAACACATAAATTGGATGTGCATGCCAAAATGCATTGTCCAAAACTTTGTTGTAAAGAACAGAAAAAAAAACTCACCAATTCATGGGCCAATGTTGGACTGATTCCAAGCTCCCTCTCCAGGGCCATCAGGGCCTGAACATCTGCCAAGGGGAAGATGCCGTGGTGCCTGGTCTCCACACTTCCCCCTGTGGTCAGGCCCTGAAGAGCAGCTACAGCCACAAAAAGGTCCTTCACCATTTTGGTGAGGCCGCGGTGCTGCTGCAGGATTATTTCCTGTTTCACCAGGACTTCATGCAGGCGAGCTGAAAAGCCTTTCAGACACAAAGAAACAACATAGTTTAAGCATTTTTTGCTTTTACATGTTTGTGTGTGTGTGTGTGTGTGTGTGTGTATTTAGCTTTATAAACCATCTTATAATAGTATGAATGCGTGGATCATGTGTGTTCGTGTTACGGCTGCCAGCCTGGCCAGTGAGCCAAGATCACCCAGCTCTGGTGATCAAGCCTGACACCGCCCCTCCTCCTCCTCTCTTCCAGGCTGCTGAGGAGCACAGCTGAGCTGAATCCTGTTGATCACCCACACCTGGTATAAAAAGGCTGTGCCTTCAGCAGTCTGAGAGCCACAGCCCAGTCTGATAACTTCGATTCCAAGTTGAAACGGGAAATAGTTTCCTCATCAGAATTTTCATCATTTTCAGTAATGCCCTGCTCAGCCATAACATCATAGGTAGACGGCCTAAAGTCCTCTTCAACCATATCAACATCAGACATTGTGACTACAGCTTGCCAGACTATCTTGAACTTGCTCAGGGTAAAGCATTTCAGGCTCAAGAGAGTCAAGCGTGGTATTGACTCTTTACTGTAGACCGCTCTCTTGCTCACATTATTCCAATGGCTATATGCCATTGTGTTGGAAAAACGACAAAAAGGAAAATTATTGGCCTTTATGGATCTACACAGAGTTGGAGACAAACATTCATGCTATCACCAATTGATCACTTAGAATAGTCTACATAACATCCACATGTAGGCCTAAATGCAACCATACCTTTCCTTGTTTAATCATTTAAAGGAGCCATATGTAAGATTGTGGCCAAAGCTGGTACTGAAATGATGTGTAATGGAGCCATAAGAAAGTGTCATAATTGGCCAAAATAGGTCAAATAAATTATTCACCCACATTCTGAATATTTTAGAACCTCCCCCCTCTCCATGATTGGGAGATTTCATAAAATATCAACACAAAACTATTGTTGCCAGCGATATTTAGAAATGGAACATCATTTGGTAATGTTCAGGACCAACTTAGAATATGGCTACTTTACCTACAATTACATTAAAGAGTTCATTTGAGATCTAATGACGTTTTCTACTGTCATTATTAAACAGAGAGTAACCTATATCCTATATTAGTTCCTCTACTCTGTACATGCATCACCACCTGTATTAGGATACAATATCTTGACAGCTTTTATTTTTTTATTACTGCTAATACTAAACATAGTATATATCTGATATACTTCTGCTTCTAGAGATGGATGGAGTAGATACCTCTGATCAGTTGCTACAAACAAACACTGTACACAGAAAAACAGAGCTAGCCAGGGGAGAAAAAGGTGCAAACTGTGCAAAAAGACACTCACTGGATGTGTAAGGAGTGTAAAATTGGGCTTTGTTTACAGCTAGATAGGAACTGTTTTACAGAGCACATAGCGGGTAGTTCTAATGAAGAGCTTTTGTAAATAGTTTTATACACGTGTATCTAGTATTAGAGGCAGGCATATTGCTCTACTTATTTCTTTGAAACCAAGTCTGAGTCACACTGCCAAGCAAAAACAAAAAAAAATATTAAAACAATAAAAAAAACTAAAACTTGACAGGATTTTTCTGCCATCTCAGAATGTTTGATCAATACATTTACATGTTATACTCAAATCAGTTTTTTGTTTTATTTTTTTTATATGACACTGTTAGAACTTTTTAAAGATACTAATGTACTATTCTTTACAGATATTAAAAGTTAAACTTCTCCTGAAAAAAAGAACATTTTAGTTCAAAGAGGACATTGTCAAACATATTTATTGAAAGAAAAAGACAAATCACCAGGCGGACCCTTATAATTGCAGGTTTTAAAGGGTTAATAAGGATTTCAACATTGAATCAACATTAATTGAGGGTGCAAAACTGATGTCAGTCAACGTCAGATGTCAACATTGATTCAACGGCATAACTTTAGGCATCTCTCCGCTAGCGTGCTTCGGCTCGACTCCGATTGACTGAGCCTCGGTTTACTCTCCACTGGTAGAAGTAGCAAAACTGAAGAAGCCAAGTCGCTTAAAAGCTTCGAATCAGCAAAAGGTATAAGTGGAGAGATGCCTTTTGACAAGGGATTGATCAAACATCAACGTCTGTAAGACTTGGCGGCAGGAAAAAGACGGTAAAATAAAAAGAAATGTCATTTTTAAGCAACTGCAATGCCCGGCCCACACTCCATTCCAGAAGGTGGGGTAACTGCAAAAGTTGTTTGCCAACCTCCGAAAAACTCCAAGAAAATCTGTTTCCTGTCTGCCCCCATACAAACTCTATAGCTAGAAAGTAGAGCCACCACGTATATTCAGAAAAGGGCCGCAAATTGACCCACCCAGTAGAGCGGGACTGTTTTCTTCATCCCGCTCTTGCCCGCTCCCTCTGAATTTCTGACCATTACCGCCCGCAACCGCAACGTGTGTGTTACACTCCCGCCCGCGCCCGCAGTTTGCATGTCTACTCCCGCCCGCAACCGCAAAACTCGGAGAAATTATTACCTCACAATAAAAGAGATGCAGTGAGTTTGTGTCCTCTCTGTTCCTGGAGAAAACATGTAATTTTATAGGCTATACCAGGGGTCGGCTGATGCGGCTCTCTGTGCTTGTAAAATGATGAATGGATATTTAAATAGACAAATCTGTACCGTCATCTAAACAGTGGTACAGCCACTATCTACTAGCAGAAACCAAGCCATTAGTTCTGGAACCCGGAACGTATAAAAGCAGAATAGACTTTAAACGACTGCCCTACCCCTGCCACATTTGGTGCTGAGTGTGGTGCCTCGGTCTGCCTGCGTGTTCGCAGCTTCCGTCACGTGTCAGGGGGCTTAAGATTTTTGGCATCGATCTGATTGATCCCAGTGGCTGCCTGGTGGGATCTGTGTCCCTGGGCTCTGTTGGGTCCCCGGCGGGGTTGGTTGCCCCTGGGTCCCGGGTTGCTGGGTTCCGGGCTCGGCCAGCTTAGGAGTGGGAGGGAGGCTGCGGGCAGTCCTGTCCGCTTGCCGCTGTTTTCTCCCAGGACTTTGCTGGCTGCTGGTTGTGGACCCCCCAGGGCAATCCACTGTTTTGGGTTGACAACTTTTTTTCTGACGACTTTTGGTTTGACAACTTGTCTTATTCGCTGGACGTCACTCTTACAGGGGAGCCGGGCTCCCTTCAGCTCCCCTGTAAATTCAACCCTGCATATCAGTGGTAATTCTTTATCAAACTTGTGTATGTACAAGTGAAACTTAAAAAATTAGGATATTTCAACAGTCTATTTTTTTCAGTAATTCAAAGGTGAAACAAATATATGAGATAGACTCGTTCCATGCAAAACCATATTTTTCAGCCTTTTTTTTTGTTATAATGCAATTTGGCTTACAGTTTATGAAAACACCACCTTCAAAATCTCAAGACACTTACAGAATTGTGAAAAAGTTCAATATTCCTGACTCAAAGTGTCACACTCTAATAAGCTAATGAATCCAGAACACCTACAAAAGGTTCCTAAGCCTGTAGATCAGGGCTACAAAATTCCCCACATTGAGGTCCAGTATCCAGCACATTTTAGTTTCAACCCTGCTTCAACACACCTGATTTCAGTCAGCAGGTGATCAACAAGCTTCTGCAGAGGGTGAAGAGTTGCTTCCAAGGTTATTCAACCACTGAATCAAGTGTGTTGGACCAGAGAACTTACTAAAACTGGCTGGATATCTGCTCTTGAGGCCCGGAATTGAATAGCCCTGCTTTAGATGGTCTCTCAGTCTGAGCTGGATTACTGACATAAATGAATTATTTCACCATAATGTAATTTGTGGAGTTTCACCTGTAGAATAGATTGTATGTGAAATATTAGGTTGTGGGCTGCGCAGTGGTTAGAGCTGTTGCCTTGCATCAAGAAGGTCCTGGGTTCACTTCCCAGCCTGGGGTCTTTCTGCATGGAGTTTGCATGTTCTCCCTGTGCATGCATGAGTTCTCTCCGGGTACTCCGGCATCCTCCCACAGTCCATGAAACATGACTGTTAGGTTAATTGTGTGTGTGTGTGTGTGTGTGTGTGTGTGTGTGTGTGTGTGTGTGTGTGTGTGTGTGTGTGTGTGTGTGTGTGTGTGTGTGTGTGTGTGTGTGTGTGTGTGTGTGTGTGTGTGTGTGTTGCCCTGCGATGGACTGGCTTTCTGTCCTGGGTGTACCCTGCCTGATTACCCATTGACCGCTGGAGATAGGTTCCAGCCGCCCCCCCCCCCACCCCCCCCCCCCCCCCCCCGCATGGACAAGCGGGTTCAGAAAATTTTTTATTTGAAATTTATTTGTTTGCACAATGAAATATACATCAAAAAAATGAGAACAAATATATATTAAAAACAATACAGTGCAGGAGGGGGCAAAAAAGCCTAATTCGGCTTATATAAAGCCTCTACCTATAGTTCATAATCTAATAAAATTTGCAAGTACTAAGTTGTTTAAAACATAACAAAAATATAAAAATGGATGGATGGATATTAGGGTGGCATCTGATGTCCATTTGATATTATTGCATGTTGTATTTTACTGTACTGTGTTTTATAGGTGTTTGGTGTAGTATGGTGTCATGCACAGTGACTGCACAAACATGCACATATTTAAACCTTCTACCTGAAACAAAGGATCTGAATAAATCCTTTAAAAAAACAAGTTTTTAATTTAAAAGTTTAAGGAACAAAGTTACTGTAATGCAGCAAGTCATTATGAACTAAGAGCCTATATTTTACTGAATATTCTTCATATACACCTTTCTGAAAATAATTCAAGACATATTTATTCACCACACATTTATGACAGTTTAGCATTTTTTAAATTGCTATTGACTATTTTTCCAGAGATGATCAGCTTGAACGCTGATCGAAACCAGCTATAAAAACACCCATAAACAAATGGATTAAGCATAGAATTACACCGTCCAAGCCAAACTACAGTTTCAATCAGTATCAATGGAACTGCATTTGTCACTTGTTTGACAGTTATGGAGAGAAAGAACGGGGTCCAACAGAAAAGGAAAACTCCCATGACAATGGCCAGAGTTTTAGTGGCCTTTCTTTCCATTTTACTGGCTATTGCTCCAGACTTTTTGCTCTGACAAGTTAGGTTCTGGATGCTATTTGCTTGTTTCTGTGCAACAAAGAAAATCCTAAGGTAGATAATAAACATTATAATCACTGGTAAGTAAAATGAAACAGCTGTACCAATTACATTTGACAGTGGAATGCGAAATAAGAAGCACCTTGCATCACAGACAGTATTTTTAAGTCCTCCAAATATAATTCCAAATCCAGAGAGGACTGAAACAGTCCAGGAAAACAGGATCATTAATGAAACTACAGTAACGGTTACTTTTGTTTTATAAGTTAGAGGGTGACATATTGCAAAATATCTGTCAACAGAAATGCAGCACATGTTAAGAATTGATGACGACATAAGAGAAATATCAAGGCTCCTTCGCGCTTTACAGAAGAAATCCCCTGACTGAGAGCCCAGCTGTACGTTCAGTGTCATATTAAACAATGAAATCAAAGCACCAACAAGCAGATCAGCCACAGCCAGAGAGAGGATGAGATAGTTTGTAGGTGTGTGAAGCTGTTTGAAGTAAATGACAGAGGTCGTCACCAGAAGGTTGCCACTCACTGTAAGAATAGATACCATACTTCCAATGAACAAATATAAAAATGAACGTAGTGCTGAAGGGTTTAGTACTATTAGACAAGAAGTACTCTCCGTACTCTTGTTGATGAGAAATGCTGGGTCCATCCCTCTTGAATCCAGAGTGAGTTGCTTCAATAAAAATCTTTAGTGAGTCGTAGACAAAATGAAATAGCTCAGACTAATTTAAAAAAAGGCAATTTTCAGAAGTGCATAATAATAACATTTTGCTGCTTAAAAGCTATCTTTGACTACTACTACTCTAACTCTAAATACCAGGTCCAGCTTGTTTTTAAAATGACACATTATGTTTAACTCCTCCTGCAAAAAGTAGCTGTCCAATGATTTCTGCAGATTTTGTAACAAGACATTTCCAGGAGTAGAAAGGAACCGCATTATACTGGGGTTGCAGCATGGACGTAATTTTGGGGGAGGACGGGGGGACATGCCCCCCTCCCCCCCCACGTTTTCCAAAGTCAAGTTTTGACCCCTGCACTTTTTACCATCCAAAAACAATATTACGCTATATTAAATTGACACTAGTTGAGCTCTAGGACCAAGCAGAAAACAACCGTTTGTGTTGAAACCTGTTTCCCATTAGAACATACTGTAAAGATCCCCCCCCCCCGTGTCCCCCCCCCCCCCCCCCCCAGTTCTAAAGTGAAAATTGCGTCCATGGGTTGCAGGGATTAACCAGTTTTACTATTAATCCCAGTTAACCTCCTGCAAAATGTCTCCAACACTGCCTATAAAAAACAAAAAGACAATAGCGTAACCTGCATGGATAAAAACAAAACTGAAGGCACACAGCAGAAGCACGACCAGTGAGTACGTTTACATGCAGCCAATATCCGGGTTATGATCGGGTTAAGGTCGGGATTCGGGTTTCTGAGTTGATCAGAATAACCCGTTTACAAGCATAAATAAAAAGAGTTACCTCTAACTTGCATAACCCGATGTAAATGCGGACGTTGGGGTAGCGTCAGGACGTATGGACTACGTCCAGACGCAATATGCGTCATTTCCGGTTCTTCTTGTTCTGGTATCCATGAAAACGACAACATGTTTCCCAGTTTGGAAGAGATAGTGACCGCGTTTGTTTGCGCTCTAGTTTCCTCGTCACTCAAAGTGTGGTGCTGTGTCGCGACTCGCCATTTTGCCCCCAACTTGTTGTTTACTTCCGGTGTTCTGGCGCGTACAAGACGTCTCGCTACTCAAAAGACCAAGATTCTTTGCAAACAGAGCATGCGAAGAAGACACGCTTTGATGGGGATATCCCGGTATGCGTTTACACGACCAAACATTCGGGTTAGAAAAGGGTTACCCCAGGTGTAGTAACCGGGTTTTTAAAAACCCGGTTATGAGCACATCCGGGTTTTTGGCGGTGTTTACATGGACCTGCGGAACCGGGTTATTGTGAATATTCTGGTTTTAAAAGGGTTACTGGCTGCATGTAAGCGCACTGAGTGACAACAACCATTTCCACCTAGGTAGCAGTTGAAGTTTCCTGTGTGGGAATATGTCTAATGTTTCTAAAATATTCCCAAAGTTGAAAGGTTGAAGTCTCCTGTGCAGCGGTGGCTGGTGCCATTTATTATTTTATGTTTTTGGTGAGGCGCAATTTAACAAGTGATGTCCTGAAAAGAGGATGCTAGCCGAGATTTGCATGACCATTTATGAGAAGGTGCACATGAATAATGAGGTTTTTAATATACAAGTACTATTAACATGTTTCTTATCTATTAGCTTCCTTACAAAATTATGGTTTATGGGCAAATAAATAAAATTATGGTTTATTTGACAAAAATAATAAAAAATCTTTAAAAAATTTGTAATTTCAAGTCACTTTCCTGGTTTTTCAAACAAACAGCAAAATTCAAGCAGGCAGAAAAAATGTATATAAAAACACTCAAAAAAACGTTAAAATAAAATGTGTCAAAGTAGTAAATATTTAATTTTATTATTATATTTCTAGTCAAAAACAAAAGGTTTTCAGGAGAAACACGGATTAGAAAAGTCTTCACATTATGATTCCATTAAAAATAGTCTCATCACTCAAAATTCTAATAACTAAGTCTGAAATTAGCTTTTTGGACGACTAGGCTGAATTCAGATGCACTATCTACATATAACCACCAGGGAACACCAAATCACCATTTTTATGCGTCACACCAACAGACCGGTAACAGCATAATTGTTGCAAATATGCTTAATAATCACCAATATATGCAAATTCAGCATGAAAAATAAACTAAGCTAATTTCAGGAAGTCAAAAATAATTATTCAGTCCAACCTTTGCTGATTTAAGGTTGTAATAATCCGTTATTATAGTAAAAAAAAATCCACTTTTGACATGCAGGAGAGTGTTCAAAAGTCTCTGATGCCACATTGCATCATTTTCCAGTTTTTCTTATAAAAACTCCACGAAGTGTACTCAGCTGCTCTACAAAAGCACAGGACGGTGAACTGTGGAGAATTTTTGGTTCTGTCGTGACCTGAGATACCATACCATTCCATACCATACCATACCATATCATACCATACCATATCATACCATACCATACCATACCATACCATACCATATCATACCATATCATTCCATACCATATCATATCATACCATTCCATACCATACCATACCATACCATACCATGTTTATGTATAGAGCACATTTAAAAACAGCATGACAGCTGACCAAAGTGTTGTACAGCAGAGAACAGAGGAGCTCCGTAAAAACAGAACTAAAATCAAACAACCTAAAAATAAGATTAAAAATAGATCAATAAAAGCGCCATTGTTACTAAAAATAAGAGAAAATAAAAGTGGGGAAAGCAAGAATAAAACGCCAAAGGCAATCAGTCATAAGATATTGTAAAAGTAGGTTAATAACCAAAGGTAAGGTGATAAAAATAGGTCTTCAGCGCCGACTTAAAACGGCCTAGTGACGGGGCCTGTCGTACTTGGAGGGGAGGGCAGATGAAATTCTACCCTATTGGGTCCAGTGCTCATGCACCAGTTGGCTTGGTCTATGGTAGAGATTACTGCATCCAAAAGTAACAGAAAATATGTCACAGTATGATTCGGTGGTGTTAAAAGTGTAAATAACATTTTTAAACCACACTTAAATGCAGATATAATGTTCATAGTTTAAAGAGTAGCCAATAAATATGGAAGCAGTGTTCTCTCACTCAGACACGGGTCACCGGGGTCCCTCTCTGGAGCCAGGCATAGCCCGAAAAGGAAACGTGGGTACCCTTCCCATGGGCTCACCGGTTGTGGGAGGGGTCAAAGGGGTCGAGTGCTGTGTCTGACGGGTGGTAGCCGAGAGCGGGGACCTTGGTGGTGTGATCCTTGGCAACACAAACTAGCTCTTGGCATGTGGAATGTCCCTTCTCTGGTGGCTTGTCAAAAGATGCTCTGGGTTAAAGCGGTTTTGCTCCGGATGGCCGGTCCGAAGCTTTCTCAAGAACTGACTCACGGTGATGTGAGCTCTGTTTTAGCAATTGTCATATTTTGATTTACTAACAAATCAGAATTTGACATGTAAAAAGGGCTTTATCAACAAACCTCAGAAAACACATCTTGCGTCAGGTACAGGAGTCCTGATTTGTGGAATAGAAAGCAATGTGTCATGATATTAGTTTAACCTTGTCATCGTCACTGTGTCTGAGTGTGTGAGCTGTCCGTGGATAGTGATTCACTTGTTAAATCTAACTTTACTGATCATAACTTAATAACATTCATTTCAACCTCAGTAATTTAAGCACAGATTAATCAAAACATTGTGATTATTCTTCAACCATTATTGTTCATTCAACCATATGATTATTTACTCATCTTGTTTATTATATGATTTAATTATGAATGTTCATCCATCTTGTCCTGTGAAGCAAAGCAGTCTTAGATACAAGGGAGCTTGCGAGGGACTTTGGGCAAGCACAGTATCTTTCTTGCATATTAAAGCCCCAGCTAAGGCTTATGTCTCTGTAGCATCATGAAGGGACTGTTGTCTCGCCTCTCCTCATGAAGAATCAACAACCTTGAGATATCGCTCAAGGCCTTTTGATGCCTCTGCATCTAAACTGTTTAACTAGCCATTTGCCTCCCCCTACAGCTCAAGAGAAGAAAGAAGACCAAAAACTCTTTTTCTATTGAATAATAATCAAAATACCTGTGTTAGTCCAAATAATGATGTAAAGCTCAATGTTAAATCAATCTGTGAAATGAGAATATTAATTAATTGATATTATAATCCTATGATAGTATTTTAATAAGTAATATAACTTTTAAACTACACACAAGACTGATCCCACGTAATGTTAAATCACATGACGCATTCCTTTGTCACTCCAATCAGAGCTTTCCATTCTGATGCGTGGCGTAATCTGAGCGGTGTTCATATTTGTGTCCAATGCTGATTCGACCATAAATCAAAACATCTGTATTATAAAACTAACTCCCACATCACCCTTAACTCAGTTCAAACGTTCTAGAGTTTCGAGCCGGCCACTCGTAACTTTTTAACCACAAAGAACAGTAAATGGCCTGTAGTTGATATAGCGCCTTCTAGAGTCCTGGAACCCCCCAAGGCGCTTTACAACACAATCAGTCATTCACCCATTCACACACACACATTCACACACTGGTGGGGATGAGCTACGATGTAGCCACAGCTGCCCTGGGGCGCACTGACAGAGGCGAGGCTGCCGAGCACTGGCGCCACCGGTCCCTCCGACCACCACCATCAGGCAACGTGGGTTAAGTGTCTTACCCAAGGACACAGCGACAGACTGAGCGGGGCTCGAACCTGCAACCTTCCGATTACGGGGCGAGCACTTAACTCCTGTGCCACCGTCGCCCCGATATAATGTTCAGAACCTAACGGCAAGCTGAAAACTAAACCAGTTGCAAGCTACACCTGACGCAACGCTCCTTCAGAGTAAAAGCTGAGCTCACTGACCCTTCAGGGTCCTGCTAACGCTGTCAACCAACTGCCGCTTACCTGGAGGCAATCCCCATGACTAGTCTGTCGTACCGTACGCTGTTTCACCGGCTTCAGTACCAAAGGGGGGTTCGAGAACCTGGCATTCTGGATCTGCAATGGAGGTCTCTGCAAGGGTATGTAGCTCGGCAAGATAGCATCTGAATGTGGTTTTTGAAACCCCAACTGTAGTTTAGAGCAAAACATTTGCTCCCACACAGAACTAATGCTTCTCCGGAAACGAGAGTTCTGATAACAACATTCCACATTACACCATCCATCTTGCCTCATTCACACCTAGATCCATTCATCACATAGTGTTTAAAGTTATTTAGCCTTGTTTTAAATTGTTTAGAAATAAATCTTCTTAAACTTTAAAACTTGTCTCTCTCTTTTGACTCTGGGTTACTACGAAGTTTTACGTAATCCCTGCAATAAAAAGTTCTGATCTTCTGGTTGAAGGTAGTATTCAAAGATCCATCAAACAGATTTCATATTTTCTATGGAATCTCACCTTTGATGGTTTCCTACGTAAGATGCAACTATAATCCTCTACGTCTCCATGTGACCCGATACTGAAGAGGTGACCTG